AAATGTAGCGTAATGGTCTAATTTGATCTTGCCCTAACCCATCTCAGAAAATGTAGAGTTTCATATCAGGAGGACTTGCGTTCTAAAAATCAGGGGGGCAATTTGAATATTCCTTATTATTTGGATACACCATGTCACATCTCATCAAGTCTCGTCACCTCTCGTCACCTCTCGTCGCGTTACGAATCTCTTTGTGGTAAGATATACTTACATCTTTATGGTAATATTCCCATGTTAACTAGCTTTTTATAATCAGTTAGACCTAATATTATCAAGATATGATTTAATATTGTAGCATTAATTTACATTATTCATTTGAATGGAAAATTAAAAAAAAACGTGCTCTCCTGTTTACAGTCAGTGTGGAAATCATTCCTTACCAAATACTGTAATAGAATTAATGGTCGTTTAGAGAATAAATGCATAGCAATCGTAATTAGCAAGGCATTAATGACGTATTGGTAATATCCCCACATTAAAATATTCAAATCGTATCCTATATAGTAACTACATATCGATGTGAGGAGAAATCGACAAAATGAATAAGAGAAGAAAGAGAAGATGTTTTAAGAGATATGTGTCGTATTGGTACTCTCTTAGTATAGCAATTAAACTAGGTCTATTCATAAAAACATGAGAAAATACGACAAAGAAGAAGAGACTAAATAAAATGTCTTTCTAGAGATATATGTCGTAACACTTATTGAAGGCAGGAGTCATATCTATCACATACTTCATTCGCTGCACTAGTTTCCTTTAGCACCTATTCATGGGCAAATCTTTTTTGATTTTGTGTTCCTTGCTTTACCGAGTATTATGGAATTATGACCTTAAATTGGCATCAGAAGTGTCATTTACTCTATATCTCTTGTGATTCAAGCTTAAGAACTACGACTAGGGACTTAATGAAGTGATAAGATGTTTTGATACATCTTGGATATGACCAAATAGCTTGGACTCGCTCTCTTCATGTCTTTCAGGTTCTACAATGCAGTATATATACACGCTTCCAGGACTTCAGTCACATCTACGAACCACCGCGTCGACTTAGTTCAGCTATTGTCCATCGACTGCGTTCATCTTCTTCACATCCCACATTCACGGCACCAAGGAGGAAGTCGATCATTTTCAAGATCTGGCCCACCACTCTGATATATGTGTACATCGTCAGCAACTACGAAAAGAGCTCAAAGATTAAGACTCAGTTTAATTATGCCATCTCCCTTGTATCTTTTTGGTAATTGTGTTTTTTCTTTCTGTGAGTGGGACCTGATGCAACACCTCTCGGAAAATATAAGTGTCATTGATCTACGTAGGCAAGTATTATCAGGTATGTATTCCAAAGTTTGCTAAAGAATTTATCTATTAAATCAAGGCAGAATGAACACGAGTATATTTCTCATGAAAAAGTTTATATTGAAACAGGTGTTGTACTGTTACAAGGCGCGTGACAATAATAAGTCTCATAATTACCATTCGACTGATATGAATACATAATACGAAGGGAAATGCTCAACATTAAAGAGCTACAGGAGAAGAAGAATCGTTAAAAAATGGATAATAAAACAGGGCAAAATGTATTGTGATTATGAAATGCAAAGACATATTTTTAAAAGTATGAATGCAAACAAAAAGAAGAAAATTATTCACTCGAATTATTGTGAAGAGAAATATTTATTCAATATATGATGCGATTTTTGCAAGATTTCTCATTGTACAGGTGAAAGAAGGGAGAGGGGATGACGATCACTGATTTGACTACGCCACACGATGACGACCATGGTAATGACTACGGTGACAGCGAGGGTGACATAGGAGCAGCAGTGGATAGGCTTCGTGTTTCTGCAAACGTTCAGTAAGATGTGTTCATTTTAGATAACGACATAAACCCAATACATCATTTTAAGTAAGTTTATTTCAGTTAGGTAAATTCCACACTCGTGGAGATAGAATTAGATTATTGTTGATAGGACAACATATGATTTAAGATGGAATATCCAAATGTTTGAAATCTAGGATGTAGTTTAGTATCTGTTAAATCAAAGCGGAATGAAAACCGAGTATATATTCCTCGTGATATAAACGTTTTTGAAACAGATATGGTACTGCAACAACCCACGTGATAATTGTATTTTGCAATATTATACTTCGACAGGAATGCATAGGTTATATAAAAGAAAATATGTACAACCCTCAAGGGTTACGAGAGGGAAAAAATATAAGCGAATGAATTTTAAAACGGGGCAATGTATCTACATTTTTACGAAATGGCGATTAGGTATGACTATCAAAAGGGTGGTGTCTAGGATGATAACTACGATGACGACCATGCACAATTCACTTGAATTATTGAAATTAATTTACTACATATATGACTTGAAGAAAGTGCAGCCATGATGGAATGCCTTTCGATTCTCCCCTCTCCTTGTATCAAACCAAATAACTCTATCCGAGATTGTCATCTTGTCATCCTCCTTCTGTAATATCGGGTAGGGTTACTTTCAGGTTGATGGCGAGAAGGATGACTACCAGGGTGACGGCGGGTAGGGTTACTTTCAGGTTGATGGCGAGAAGGATGACTACCAGGGTGACGACGGGTAGGGTTACTTTCAGGTTGATGGCGAGGAGGATGACTACCAGGGTGACGGCGGGGAGGGTTACTTTCAGGTTGATGGCGAGAAGGATGACTACCAGGGTGATGGCGAGTAGGGTTACTTTCAGGTTGATGGCGAGAAGGATGACTACCAGGGTGACGACGAGTAGGGTTACTTTCAGGTTGATGGCGAGGAGGATGACTACTAGGGTGACGGCGGGTAGGGTTACTTTCAGGTTGATGGCGAGGAGGATGACTACTAGGGTGACGGCAGGTAGGGTTACTTTCAGGTTGATGGCGAGAAGGATGACTACAAGGGTGATGGCGAGTAGGGTTACTTTCAGGTTGATGGCGAGAAGGATGACTACCAGGGTGACGGCGGGTAGTGTTACTTTCAGGTTGATGGAGAGAAGGATGACTATCAGGTTGATGGCGAGTAGGGTTACTTTCAGGTTGATGGCGAGAAGGATGACTACCAGGGTGATGGCGAGTAGGGTAACTTTCAGGTTGATGGCGAGGAGGATGACTACCAGGGTGACGGCGTGTACTTTCAGGTTGATGGCGAGAAGGATGACTACCAGGGTGACGGCGGGTAGGGTTACTTTCAGGTTGATGGCGAGAAGGATAGACTACCAGGGTGACGACGGGTAGGGTTACTTTCAGGTTGATGGCGAGAAGGATGACTACCAGGGTGATGGCGAGTAGGGTAACTTTCAGGTTGATGGCGAGGAGGATGACTACCAGGGTGACGGCGTGTACTTTCAGGTTGATGGCGAGAAGGATGACTACCAGGGTGACGGCGGGTAGGGTTACTTTCAGGTTGATGGCGAGAAGGATAGACTACCAGGGTGACGACGGGTAGGGTTACTTTCAGGTTGATGGCGAGAAGGATGACTACCAGGGTGATGGCGAGTAGGGCTACTTTCAGGTTGATGGCGAAAAGGATGACTATCAGGTTGATGGCGAGAAGGGTTACTTTCAGGTTGATGGCGAGAAGGATCGGGAGAAGGATGACTACCAGGGCGACGGCGGGTAGGGTTACTTTCAGGTTGATGGCGAGAAGGATGACTATCAGGGTGATGGGGACTAGGGTTACTTTCAGGTTGATGGCGAGGAGGATGACTACAAGGGTGACGACGGGTAGGGTTACTTTCAGGTTGATGGCGAGGAGAATGACTACCAGGGTGACGGCGGGTAGGGTTACTTTCAGGTTGATGGCGAGAAGGATGACTACCAGGGTGACGGCGAGTAGGGTTACTTTCAGGTTGATGGCGAGAAGGATGACTACCAGGGTGACGGCGAGTAGGGTTACTTTCAGGTTGATGGCGAGGAGGATGACTTCCAGGGAGATGGGGACTAGGGTTACTTTCAGGTTGATGGAGGGAGGATGACTACAAGGGTGACGACGGGTAGGGTTACTTTCAGGTTGATGGCGAGGAGAATGACTACCAGGGTGACGGCGGGTAGGGTTACTTTCAGGTTGATGGCGAGAAGGATGACTACAAGGGTGATGGCGAGTAGGGTTACTTTCAGGTTGATGGCGAGAAGGATGACTACCAGGGTGACGGCGGGTAGTGTTACTTTCAGGTTGATGGAGAGAAGGATGACTATCAGGTTGATGGCGAGTAGGGTTACTTTCAGGTTGATGGCGAGAAGGATGACTACCAGGGTGATGGCGAGTAGGGTTACTTTCAGGTTGATGGCGAGGAGGATGACTACCAGGGTGACGGCGTGTACTTTCAGGGTGATGGCGAGAAGGATGACTACCAGGGTGATGGCGAGTAGGGTTACTTTCAGGTTGATGGCGAGAAGGATGACTATCAGGTTGATGGCGAGTAGGGTTACTTTCAGGTTGATGGCGAGAAGGATCGCGAGAAGGATGACTACAAGGGCGACGGCGGGTAGGGTTACTTTCAGGTTGATGGCGAGTAGGATGGCGAGTAGGATGGCGAGAAGGATGGCTTCAAGGGTGACGGCGGGTAGGGTTACTTTTAGGGTGACGGCGAGAAGGATGACTACAAGTGTGACGGCGGGTAGGGTTACTTTCAGGTTGATGGCGAGAAGGATGACTACCAGGGCGACGGCGGGTAGGGTTACTTTCAGGTTGATGGCGAGAAGGATGGTGAGAAGGATGACTACAAGGGTGACGGCGGGTAGGGTTACTTTCAGGTTGATGGCGAGTAGGATGGCGAGAAGGATGGCTACAAGGGTGACGGCGGGTAGGGTTACTTTCAGGTTGATGGCGAGAAGGATGACTACCAGGGCGACGGCGGGTAGGGTTACTTTCAGGTTGATGGCGAGAAGGATGGTGAGAAGATGACTACAAGGGTGACGGCGGGTAGGGTTACTTTCAGGTTGATGGCGAGAAGGATGACTACCAGGGTGACGGCGGGTAGGGTTACTTTCAGGTCGATGGCGAGAAGGATGACTACCAGGGTGACGTCGGGTAGGGTAACTTTCAGGTTGACGGCGAGAAGGATAACTACCAGGGTGACGGCGAGTAGGGTTACATTCAGGTTGATGGCGAGAAGGATGACTACAAGGGTGACGGCGGGTAGGGTGACTGTCAGGTTGATGACGACAATGATAGTCTCCAGGATGACGAAAGGTGACGACCAGGTACACAGTAGTTAAGTTATATGAACCGTTTTACCATATAACTTTATCAACGATCTTGAAGAGGAACATTGATGTTAGCCATGATGTTACATGTATAGTCATCACCTTTTAGACGTAGACACAGAAGCAAGACGATGAAACACCTTCTAGTCTGCCCATTTCTACCAGAACCATTGTATTCTCAAAGATCATGAGGAGTTTAATAAGCCAACTTCAGGTCCTACATCGTGCACTGGATGGGACTTGTGTCGTAACTTGTAACTGACCATTTCTTGCCTTGCCGGTGGATTGAAGAAGATTATAAAATCATCTATTCATTTATGTTGCAGCGCGGAGAGCAGGATGACTTTGAGGATAACTACCAGGGTGATGACCAGCAGCAACATCAGGGACGATGTCGACCTACCAGGTTGATATCAACGAAGGAGACGAGCAGGGCGGTCACGACCAGGATAATGACTATGGTGACGTCCCTGAAGAAGAACAGGTAAACAATAATGACATAATTCAATCATTTTACCACATAAATACATTAAAGATCATGACAGTATGCTCTCTCATTGCGATTTACAATTTACATTCTTACAATTGGCGTTTCATCAAGGAGGTACGGAATAGCGGTTTCTGTGATCGACCGAAGCAATATTGGCAGATTAGATTGATTACAAAAATATATTCATTTATATTGCAGCGTGGGGAAGACGACGACGACGATGAACTGGACGACTACCAGAGTCACTACCAGGGCGACTACCAAGCTGATGACGACGACCAGGATTACAATGAGGTAGGAATCGGTCAATGTTTAAAATTATACCACATATTGATTGTTTTGAGGACCGTGAATATTGATATTAAAATTAATCTTTGCTGTTGTTGCAAGTCATTTCATGTGGAAAACTGAATTCATAACAATATTTTTTTCGCCGATTTTGGTGTTTATTTTCTTGGCACCTGTCAGTGATAGCTTGCTCAATTTGATGAAGATTGATTCAATCAATAACAGTGGCAATGAATTCATCCCCCAAATCGGCAAAAGAATATTGTCATGAGATCAGTTCTTATATGAAAAAGATTGGTTTAAATTATTTGCATGGGATTTCTATGCTAAGAGAGACTAGGGAAAGAAGAAAAATAAAAGGAACGAGTATTCTGCATATATTTACAATGCTTCAGTTTAGAAAAACAAAACATAAACAATAATCAGTTCTATATACTTTTTGTTTTCCAGTGCTGTCTACGATGTTCATCTGACTGCTCTAAATCGGGGTTGCAGTATCTAGCCAGGGTCATTGACCTTACCAAAACACACTCAGTGTACCTCTTCACCTCGCCAGTGGACAAGAACTTCTATACTGGACAAAAACTTGAATGGACATGAAACTTATTTTCAGGAGATGAGAACATGACGATCCATCTCGTTGTCTATTGGTGATTTGCAAAGAATTATACAAAGACACTCTACTCTGTATAATAATTGAGGAGGCTTGATTTCATTCCACCAGAAACCTGTAAATTTCTCTGATCAAATCTTCCTTGGAATCCTCATTCATCGATGGACATACTACGTACGATGATGCCTAAACATGTTGCAGTCCGACTTTCTATATTCTGAAAGAAACGCAATCATGTTTCATCAGGTTTTCTCATTTAGCAAGCAAGCAAGCAATCTAAATTGTCTCATAAATTTGCAATCATGGTTATCTCCAAATGAACACGGCGACGTCTGCTTCGGAAGCAGAATCTCCATATATGTAAACGATGGAATAAAACAACATTGAACTACTAAACTATTCTCTCAAATATTATTAACTAAAAGCAACACTATCGAGAATCACCTGTCAGAATCGTGTACACAACTCATCAGAGACAAATGTCAACCTGACTGATACGAACCTGGCAAGAGGTTTGTTGATTGGTCTGTGTCGGAAAAAAAGGGCTTGCAAGAGAATTCGACCCTACATAGCTGATTCTAAACAGGTTTCACCATTCCGTCAAATCGGACGGTCATAAACTGAGGACAATTCAACTGAGAAGTATCTGATGTCAGAATCTTGAAGAGAACTAGCCTATTCGGCCTGACTGATTCGAACCTTGCAAGAGGTTTGTTGATCGGACTGTGCCGGAAAACATGCAAGATAAAGAAAAACTTTATGATTGTTATGATACTTGATCTACACAACGACCTAAGATATGGAATAATACCGGTGCTGATTATTTGCAAATGGAACAATATTGGAGCGTGACGGACTTTTGGATAATCAATTTTTTGGGATCAAATGGAATGTTCATGAATTACTGTTTGGATCATATTCCCGCTGGATCACAGGATTGAAGGGGAGAATGCAGAGACTGAACCTTGAGATGAACCTGAGACTGAGATGTCGGGGCAAGTGAAGGTTAGCCTGTAAACAATACAACAATATCACTTCTGATCTTAATGGAGCTCTGAAATTTACTGAGATGTGTCAAGGTTGGGTTTGAGTTAAGTTTAAAATATAAACTATAACATTTACACATTAGGCTTAATTAATATAAATGTAGTGTAAGGGCCTAATTTGAATCTGACCCTAACCCATCTCAGAAAATTTTGAGCTCTATATCAGGAAGATTGTTGCGTTGTAGAAAATCTATGAAGTGTCCAACTTTTCGAATTGGACACGTTTCGTATCGAAGCCTCGCGCCTTGGCATGCCTCGTTGCCACTCGTCGCATTTCGTTGCGTTGCGTTTCGTTTCGTTTCGTTGCGTCTTGTGACGTCTCTTCACGTAACGACAATTTTTCGGTGAGATATAGTATGGATTATTATTTTGTTGGTGAATATATGATAGATTATCGCCGTTATATTTGATTTATTTAAGTTTAGTCTGTGATTGCTATATTAATTAGCTTGGTAAACTGTAGAAAAGATGATGATAACAATAATACTATTAATAATAATGATTATTGGACAGAGATCGTTCCTATCACATACGACAAAGAAGAAGAGAAGAAAATGAAGATAAGAAGAAAAGGAAGATGTGTCGTACAGATAAGTGTCGTATTGGTAGGCTTGCTTTACTAGAAATGTAGTTTGACAAGTTTTTTGATTAGCATAGAATAGGAAAATACGACGAATATGAGGAGGACATGTACCTATAGTCTCATTAGCAATATTTATATTATCTTGCCAAGGCAGTTGAATTAGATCTATCTGCATACGTGTTGTATATTTATCTACCGATGTGATTAAAATTGCGACTAACATGAGAATATTAGGAAGATACGTTTAGATATATATGTAGATATAGGATTATCTATAACAGTTAACACCCTTGAATTTAAACTGCGAACATTCTATAAACCGATGTGATGAGAAAATAGAGATAATATGTGTTGTCAAACTCACTCAGTACAGAACTCTCATCTCTCATATCCTTCATGCATAGCACTAGTTTCTTGTAACACATTATAAACTTTGACGAGTCACAAGCAAGTTTTTAGTCTTTTTTTTTTTCTTCTCACCAAGTGTCATGTGATAATGAACATTAATAGACATCGGGATTGTCATTCCCCTCATATTTCATTCGATTCAAGCTTTAGGCTTAGTACTAAGGATTTAATAAAGTAACAGGATGTATAGTTGATACATCGTATAGGCGACAAAGTAGCTTGGATTCGCTCTCTTTTTGTCTTTCAGGTTTTCATTGCGGTGTACCTGCATACATCCATGACTTCTTTGATCTTGTCGACTTCGTTAAGCTATCATCCATAGACTACGTTCAGCCTCTTCCATCCCACGTTCATGGCACCGATGGCAGAATTTGATCATATGACTAATTTACATAAATGTAGCGTAATGGTCTAATTTGATCTTACCCTAAACCATCTCTGAAAATGTAGAGTTTCATATCAGGAGGACTTGCGTTCTAAAAATCAGGGGGGCAATTTGAATATTCCTTATTATTTGGATACACCATGTCACATCTCATCAAGTCTCGTCACCCCTCGTCACCTCTCGTCGCGTTACGAATCTCTCTGTGGTAAGATATACTTACATCTTTATTGTAATATTCCCATGTTAACTAGCTTTTTATAATCAGTTAGACCTAATATTATCAAGATATGATTTAATATTGTAGCATTAATTTACATTATTAATTTGAATGGGAAATTTAAAAAAACGTGCTCTCATGTTTACAGTCAGTGTGGAAATCATTTCTCACCAAATACTGTAATAGAATTAATGGTCTTTTAGAGAATAAATGCATAGCAATCATAATTAGCAAGGCATTAATGACGTATTGGTAATATCTCCACATTAAAAAATCGAATCGTATCCTATGTAGTAACTACATATCGATGTGATGAGAAATCGACAAAATGAATAAGAGAAGAAAGAGAAGATGTTTTTAGAGATATGTGTCGTATTGGTACTCTCTTCGCATAGCAATTAAACTAGATCTATTCATAAAAATATGAGAAAATACGACAAAGAAGAAGAGACTAAATAAAATGTCTTTCTAGAGATATGTATTAACACTCATTGAAGGCAGGACTCACATCTATCACATACTTCATTCACTGCACTAGTTTAATTTAGCACCTATTATGGAATTATGACATTAAATTGGCATCAGAAGGGTCATTTACTCTATATCTCTTGTGATTCAAGCTTAAGAACTACGACTAGGGACTTAATGAAGTGATAAGATGTTTTGATACATCTTGGATATGACCAAATAGCTTGGACTCGCTCTCTTCATGTCTTTCAGGTTCTACAATGCAGTATATATACACGCATCCAGGACTTCATTCACATCTACGAACCACCGCGTCGACTTAGTTCAGCTATTGTCCATCGACTGCGTTCATCTTCTGCACATCCCACATTCACGGCACCAAGGAGGAAGTCGATCATTTTCAAGATCTGGCCCACCACTCTGATATATGTGTACATCGTCAGCAACTACGAAAAGAGCTCAAAGATTAAGACTCAGTTTAATTATGCCATCTCCCTTGTATCTTTTTGGTAATTGTGTTTTTTCTTTCTGTGAGTGGGACCTGATGTAACACCTCTCGGAAAATATAAGTGTCATTGATCTACGTAGGCAAGTATTATCAGGTATGTATTCCAAAGTTTGCTAAAGAATTTATCTATTAAATCAAGGCAGAATGAACACGAGTATATTTCTCATGAAAAGGTTTATATTGAAAGAGGTGTTGTACTGTTACAAGGCGCGTGACAATAATAAGTCTCATAATTACCATTCGACTGATATGAATACATAATACGAAGGGAAATGCTCAACATTAAAGAGCTACAGGAGAAGAAGAATCGTTAAAAAATGGATAATAAAACAGGGCAAAATGTATTGTGATTATGAAATGCAAAGACATATTTTTAAAAGTATGAATGCAAACAAAAAGAAGAATATTATTCACTCGAATTATTGTGAAGAGAAATATTTATTCAATATATGATGCGATTTTTGCAAGATTTCTCATTATACAGGTAAAAGAAGGGAGAGGGGATGACGATCACTGATTTGACTACGCCACACGATGACGACCATGGTAATGACTACGGTGACAGCGAGGGTGACATAGGAGCAGCAGTGGATAGGCTTCGTGTTTCTGCAAACGTTCAGTAAGATGTGTTCATTTTAGATAACGACATAAACCCAATACATCATTTTAAGTAAGTTTATTTCAGTTAGGTAAATTCCACACTCGTGGAGATAGAATTAGATTATTGTTGATAGGACAACATATGATTTAAGATGGAATATCCAAATGTTTGAAATCTAGGA